GAACTCGGCGCACACCGGGCTCGGAACTCGTCGAGCAGAACATGGCGCCAGCTCTCCCATTTACATTACGACTCTATGTACTCTATGAAATATTCCCGCTTAAATGTTCCGGGAACACTTAGCCGTGTGTCGAGACAGGGAACCTCGGTTGGTGCAACAAACGCGGAACAAACACGCAACAGTTGCGCTAACTTCCTTCAACAGTTGCGCCGTGGAGACAAGGCCTAAAAGCAAATAGAGTCCCTTTATACTGATTGTGAGAGTCAAGACAACACCCCTCATGGAGTCACAAACGGGAATAAAGATTACACAAATTGAACGTTTTCGTATTCTTTGATCGGCTCATTCTTAAATTCCTTTCTCCGTTCCTTCTCTCATTCCGTTTGCTCCTTGTCGAACCCGAAATTCCTCGGTCCATTCCAGATTATAATCTTTGCAATTGGTGAAAATTTAATCTTTATTCCCGTTTGTGACACTGTTAAGACCTAAAATCCGGTTAACCAATCAGAAATGGATTCGCATTTTGTCTTGACTCTCAGTATAAAAGGACTCTAAAAGCAAAGAATGAAGCTTCTTTTCAATCACCTCTACTATTGGCTATAGGATGGGCGGCGAAATCGGGACAAGTTTGAAATTCAAATGTAGGGCGGGAACTAAATAAAATTGCGGAAACAAAGTATTTTAGGTTGATTTTTGCCCAAATTCACTTACACGCTCATATTTGTATAACTTTAGGTTAGTTTCGGTCCGTCGTCGACCGATTAATTTCATTTGGGAGTAACGGTCATCTAGGACTGTAACGGTCTGTTTGAACCGGCAGGACCACCATGAGCAGAAGAAAAACTAACTTTATCTGAGATTACAGCATGTTACCAAAAAAAGTAAGTGTATTATAAAAAGTCGCAGTCTTAACTTATGAAGGGCCGTTTGTAACTAAAGATACGAATGTTGGCAATATATAAGAAATGATGTAATATATGAAATATTCAAGATATACAGGGTGATACAGGGNGGGTGAAAGGGGGGGGGGGGGCTTTGTACATATATAGATATGTGTCAATATTTAGGAAATCGACCCCAAAATATAAGGCGAAAATCGTGCAATATATAAGAAATGTGTCAATATATAAGAAATCGACTTCACAATAAATATGGCGAAATTCGAGCGATATACAGGGTGATCCATAAGTCCTTCCCATCCCCTCTATGAAACTTGGGGGATGTTCTTAGGTCAAAGGGAGCTACTTTCTGGCCCCCTAAAATTTTCCGGGAAACCCTTAAGGGGGAGTGGGGATGGAAACCAATTATTTTTTCAATTGAAAAGACCCCCTTTGTTGTACCTTGTTCGAAAGAGCATCAAAAAAGGAAACTTTTCGGGCAAACGAGAAGTCAATATCTCAAACCGTTTCAAAATGGCGTTCGGTTACAATTCTAGATGGCCGAAAATTGACACCGGTAGTTTGTCAATGGATTTGCGCGAAAATCGGTATCTTCGGGTATTTTGTCAGGAGTAAAACGAATTTGAAGTTAGATTTCTAAAAAAAAAAAAAAAAAAANAAAAAAAAAAAAAAAAAAAAAAAAAAAAAAAAAAAAAAATCGGCCTTTATAGAATTTTTTTTTCCTTCAGAAATCTAACTTCAAATTTGTTAATCTCATGCCAAAATATCCCTAACTCCCAAGTGTCTGAATTTTCGGCCATTTTGGAAATTTGTTGTTTTTTTAGAAAATCTAACTTCAAATTAATTTTTCTCCTATCAATATACCCGTAAATACCGATTTTCTGCAAATCCATTGACAAACAATCGGTGTCAATTTTCGGCCATCTTGAATTTCAACCGAACGCCATTTTGAAACGGTTTAAGATATTGACTTCTCGTTTACCCGAAAAGTTTCCTTTTTTGATGCTCTTTCGAACAAGGTACAACAAAGGGGGTCTTCTCAATTGAAAAAATTATTAGTTTCCATCCCCCCTCCTCCTTAAGGGTTCCCCGGAAAATTTTAGGGGGCCAGAAAGTAGCTCCCATTGACCTAAGAACATCCCCCAAGTTTCAAATCTTTGCCTCAATTAGGTAAAAATTTAGAGGGGATGGAAAGGACTTATGGATCACCCTGTATATCGCACGAATTTCGCCATATATATTGTAAAGTCGATTTCTTATATATTGACACATTTCTTATATATTGCACGATTTTCGCCATATATTTTGGAGTCGATTTCGTAAATATTGACACATTTCTTATATATTGCGACAGTTTCGTATACATATATACTTCAAAATTTCATATATATTTTGAATATTTCATATATTACATCATTTCTTATATATTGCCTACATTCGTATCTTTAGTTACGAACGGCCCTTCATACTTAACTTTCTCGTTTTAGGCATTTAAGATACGTTTCGAAGAAGAAATGCGGAAAAATCAAGAGGACAAGTTCAAATCAAATTTCCGTTTGCCGCCATGGATTCCCAAATCGCAAATTCGAGCATTCGAATAATCGCATTCGAATACATATTCGAGTTAGGTTAGGTTCGATTCGCATTGTCTTGACTCTCAGTATATTGGGACTCTAGGGGGATATTGTGGCAATTTCACGTAAAACTTATGAAACTTATGCGAATGAATGAGGCTGCTTATGAACCAACAAAAAAAATGAAAATTCAATTTTGAATTTTTTATGAGATAAACTTCGTTGGAAAAAAAACATTGTTAGTTGAACTTGCAAATCGTCGGCGTGATTTGTTACATGCTGCGGAACCAACCCGTAAAAAGTGAGTTTAAATGCATGGGAATATCCACCGAAAAAATTAAATTGCTCATTTAACAGGTTTGTACTTACAAACTGTCCGACTTGTTCCAAATGAGGAGCTTGGAGGACAAGGCGCATAAATGCAGTTTTTGAAAAAATTAAGATATCAATGATATTAAGTAAAACTAGTCTTAATGCATATTCTGTGGAAAATTCGTTCCAAATTTCCAATTTTAAAGCATCAAAGAGTCAGTTTGAGCTTTCTCTCCGCCATATGGATCCATGTAATTTCGAAACTTTAAACACGCATTTCTCGGAATAGCAAAAACTGCACTTGTGCCCCTCAAATGTCCTTTTTCAATAATGGAAAGCTAAATTGAGCTACGGGGGTGGTTGCATTAGCATTTTTAATAGTAAAATCTACGATGAAACACGTCGAACACTTCTTTTAACCACAAAATTGTTGAATCAGCGATTTCATTTTCTTCCGTGCATTGCAAATTTGATACTTCATGTGAATTTTTAAGACGAACGCCGCTCGTTCGCCTCAAAAAAAGTGTGTGTGGGTGGGTGCTTAGGGGAGCTATAAAATACGTATTCTGAAATTCAGATTTTTTTCACTCTCCCTCATCTTCATAACCCACCTGTAACATACGTCTGCCCTACTCAAAAAAGAAGAAGAAGAAAAAAAACGTAACGTTTTGTATGATCCCCTTCCTTGAATTAGTATTCTGTAAGTAATGAATTTTGAATGAAAGAGGTTGTTCCATCCCCCATTAGATTTGGCCCCCTATCAGATATGATCCATCTTTTCAGGAGTGATACAGTAGCATGCGAGACGTTCAAATATGGCGGTCATTTTGACTTAGGCCCCCCCAGAGAGGGGGGGGGGTCAAAGTCAAAACCTTCAACTGCCTATAACTTTTGAGCGAAAAATCGGATTGAGTTGAACTTTTTTTAAATGAAAGATCTCAAAAAGATCTATCTGCTGATACTAGAAAAATTGAAAAAAAGTCAAATTTAATGCAAATTTTTAGCAATTTTTCAATTTTTTAGGGGACAAAATTTTCAATTTTGTCGTGTTTCGGCACCGCGCAATGACTCTACTAAAACAAAAACCAGTTTTTTAGATTTTACACTTAATTTCCTTTAAGATGCAAAAAACCGCATCTTGGGGAAACGTTTAGATCGCGAGCTATGGCTCGTCAAAGTTAGCCCCGCGCTGAGCGCGCGCGCCCTACGCTGTTCGCATATCCTCTGCGCGTCTGCCACCGATCCTGTTGCCCCTCCTCCCCCTTCCTAAA